ACATACACAGTCTATAGTACATCATACCTTTCAACAATCTTTAACATACACAGCCTATAGCCCATCATACCTGTCAACAATCTTTAACATACACAGTCTATAGCACATCATACCGGTTAACAATCTTTAACATACACAGTCTATAGCACATCATACCTGTTAACAATCTTTAACATACACAGTCTATAGCACATCATACCTGTTAACAATCTTTAACATACACAATCTATAGCACATCATACCTGTCAACAATCTTTAACATATACAGCCTGTAGCTCATCATACATGTAACAATCTTTAACATACACAGTCTATAGCACATCATACCTGTCAACGATCTTTAACATACACAGCCTATAGCACATCATACCTGTCAACAATCTTTAACATACACAGCCTATAGCTCATCATACATGTAACAATCTTTAACATACACAATCTATAGCCCATCATACCTGTTAACAATCTTTAACATACACAGCCTATAGCCCATCATACCTGTCAACAATCTTTAACATACACAGTCTATAGCCCATCATACCTGTCAATAATCTTTAACATACACAGCCTATAGCCCATCATACCTGTCAACAATCTTTAACATACACAGTCTATAGCCCATCATACCTGTCAACAATCTTTAACATACACAGCCTATAGCCCATCATACCTGTCAACAATCTTTAACATACACAATCTATAGCACATCATACCTGTTAACAATCTTTAACATACACAGCCTATAGCCCATCATACCTGTTAACAATCTTTAACATACACAGTCTATAGCACATCATACCTGTTAACAATCTTTAACATACACAATCTATAGCACATCGTACCTGTCAACAATCTTTAATATACACAGTCTATAGCCTATCGTACCTGTCAACAATCTTTAACGTACACAGTCTATAGCCCAATACTAGAAAATATCATGGAATTAATTGCAACGTGTGAACAAGAAATTGTATGGGACAATAATTGAATGCAAGTAATCGTATAACAATTAGTCTCTTCTTATGTTCTGGCCTTAATAACGGTGAAAAGGTCAAATCTGTTATTTTTTATTGAACCAATAGTTTGATGTGTTCTATTGTACTCCATTTTTATTTCAGGAAATGTCGAAGAGCCGTGGAAGGCTTCCTGATGCCGACTTAAAAACTCTTCAATATTTCCATGTCAGGCTTAAAACAGATCTTTGTCCTTTTCCACTGGCAGACCATTTATATCAGAAGGGAGTTATCGATGAGGAGGAGTTGGATATCATAACAACAACGAAAGAACGAAGTGGGCGTGCCGCAGGCGTGCAAAAAATGCTGGAAATTTTGCGATTTACGGGGAGACGGGCATTCCATTTGTTTCTTGAGTGTCTTGAAAATAAAGATGTAGGATATGAAGAATTGGCTAAAGACCTTAGGAAACACAAACAGACTCTTCTGTCCGTTTGATTTTTTAATGTTTCATCTTTCGGAGCACCTTGTAGTCCGGTGTACAATGGATGTAGCTATCTATGAATAAACGTTCCTCTTCTTGCACGGAAAGGTTTTTTTTTTATCGGAGTAGGTGTTTTAAAGAGAAAACCCTTTTCTCTCATCTTTTCAGACATTATGTAAATAAAATAGTTACAGAAAAATTGTAATTTTTGACTGACATCGACATCCCAATGATGTTTATAGTAAATCATTTAGTAATCTATAGACTAATATCAAACATACAGGAGAGAAACTCTACTAGTATGATGTTTATAGTAAATCATTTAGTAATCTATAGACTTATATCAAACATACAGGAGAGAAACTCTACTAGTGTGATGTTTATAGTAAATCATTTAGTAATCTATAGACTTATATCAAACATACAGGAGAGAAACTCTACTAGTCTGATGTTTATAGTAAATCTTTTAGTAATCTATAGACTAATATCAAACATACAGGAAAGAAACTCTACTAGTATGATGTTTATAGTAAATCATTTAGTAATTTATAGACTTATATCAAACATACAGGAGAGAAACTCTACTAGTCTGATGTTTATAGTAAATCATTTAGTAATCTATAGACTTATATAAAACATACAGGAGAGAGACTCTACTAGTATGATGTTTATAGTAAATCATTTAGTAATCTATAGACTTATATAAAACATACAGGAGAGAGACTCTACTAGTGTGATGTTTATAGTAAATCTTTTAGTAATCTATAGACTTATATAAAACATACAGGAGAGAGACTCTATTAGTGTGATGTTTATAGTAAATCTTTTAGTAATCTATAGACTTATATAAAACATACAGGAGAGAAACTCTACTAGTATGATGTTTATAGTAAATCATTTAGTAATCTATAGACTTATATAAAACATACAGGAGAGAGACTCTACTAGTGTGATGTTTATAGTAAATCTTTTAGTAATCTATAGACTTATATAAAACATACAGGAGAGAGACTCTACTAGTGTGATGTTTATAGTAAATCTTTTAGTAATCTATAGACTTATATAAAACATTCAGGAGAGAAACTCTACTAGTGTGATGTTTATAGTAAATCATTTAGTAATCTATAGACTTATATAAAACATACAGGAGAGAAACTCTACTAGTGTGATGTTTATAGTAAATCATTTAGTAATCTATAGACTTATATCAAACATACAGGAGAGAAACTCTACTAGTGTGATGTTTATAGTAAATCATTTAGTAATCTATAGACTTATATAAAACATACAGGAGAGAGACTCTACTAGTCTGATGTTTATAGTAAATCATTTAGTAATCTATAGACTTATATCAAACATACAGGAGAGAAACTCTACTAGTCTGATGTTTATAGTAAATCATTTAGTAATTTATTCAACAAATGAAAGACAATAAAAAAAAATAACTATTTATTTAACCAACAAATATATTTAAAAGAATGTTTTACAATCACCACTAAGTTTTAACAATCAGTAAAAAATATTTTGATAGAATTTGAAAATGAAAATAAATATTATTCTCTATTTGAGAATGTTTAAGTTTTTTGATATAATTAGATAATAAACAGTATTATAATTAGTACTGTTAAACATGACATTATAGTCAGAGTAAACCAAAGGTTTTTTGGAATTTTTCTTGTATTTCTTAAGAGAATTCAAATATCAGCCTCAAAATAGTACTGTCAGTCTTAGAATATCTTAGTGTTGATAAAAATATTCTCATTTGATACTCATTTCTCTCCTTGAAAATTTCAATAGAAAAAAGTCAAATTTTGGCTGAAAATTGTCCTCTGTAAAAACAAATTTTAAAGACATAATGTGTGCTCATGTACATATTTTTATGAACGCAAAGACATTCTAAGACTGCTATTCCAATTCTCTTAAAAAAAATATAGAAAAAATTTTAAAAACTTTTACTTTGCTGAGTTTTATTAAATTTTGGAGGAGGGATTACTATCTATTTGAGAATGTGAAACACAGGGTGTCACTCTGTCATTGGGCTTGTCAACTCTGTAGACTACATAGCTATTAATAATGTTCTTTAAACAATTCCTGAGTGATGTCACTATACCATTTAAGACCTCTGGAATTCTAGTTTCCTCTTTGTCACATGATGCAAGTAAGAGAGGCTGACATGGAAAAAGTGTTTAGTAGTGCAGATGGGACAATAAACGGAGGCCCGTGTGCTACAGACTGTACAGGTTAAAGATCACTCGACAGTTGGTAAATCAATAAAGAGTAGGCTGAAGCCGATGTTCTGGCAAAATTACTCTCATTGCACAGTGCAAGGCATTGTCTCGTTTCATTAGCTCAATTAGGTACAGAGGAGTAAAACGGAAAGCATTGCTTGTAACTATAACCACAAATGAAATAATATAAACAGAAGCTGTAAATATTCCCAGGGTTTGATAGAAATAAATATTAAAGTCAGCTTATTTCAATTCTTCAATAAAATACTAACTTTCTAAGCCATAGCAAGTATCAAATACATCATAAAAAATCTATTTATTTCGAGTCAAAGTTCTCTGTTTTTCACCGTGCTCTACAATTTTCTCTTCAACTTTTAAACCTTTTCGTTTTCGAACATTATTCATATACACTAGAGCACGATTTTGAAAATCTGACTTTTCACCAAAATGGAGCAACTCTTCTTCAGTAGTGGGAACCCAAAATGGGTCAACATCTAGCGTTTCCCAGTGACTGAATTGAAGTTGGGGAGTGGCCAGACCACTTGTACGTTTTCGAACATCTAATGCAAAACCAAAACTCTCAACAATTGGAATGACAGCTTCTACTATGAAGAGTTGCGTCCCTTCCTTCATTTTTTCAGACAGGACTCGACCGTTTCGTTTTCCTAAAACTTCGTAAAGTTTGCCCAACACCTCCGTAGTCACTTGTATTTCACATTTAAACATGGCCACCACAAGTCGCTGTGATTGTGTCTGGAAAGCTTTACGACAACCATCTTTCACTATGGACATAATTTGTCCGGAACGAGGACCATAAACATCTTTTTTAGTTTCTAGTGAAACATCACCATTCTGAGTATGAGCATTTTCCCATTTTTCTACAATAAAACAAACACCATGCATCGGTTCTTCACATAACGGCCCAGCTAACGTAGCCATTTGAAAACCATTAATAACACTATTGTCCAAATAACGCAATGCAACGTCACTTTTTGAATCCTCTATACATCTCCAGACTGATGGCCTCTTATACCCATCTACTCGACTTAACAAAATATTGGGTCCAGTTTTTTTGGGACCAAAACTCCAAATTTGATTGACAACATCCTTCCAAGAATCATTTTCCTCTGAAAAATGTTTTGCTAAATTATTTTTGAAATCTTTTAAACTTTGAATAGTCAGAGAATTTAACACAGTTTCACTAGAGTTTTCCTCAAGTTTCAAAGATTTGTGTAAAGCTTTGAGCAAATCGTGATTTTCAACAAGCAGATCTGTCACAGAGGTTGGTAACGGAACACAGCGCAGTCGAATAACTACGTTTTTATCTGGTGTCAAAATTTCAACGAGACCTTCCCCGATAACTTCTTCGTCATCTTCAAATTGTTTTAACGACTGGGATTTGATTGGTTGATTTTGCGTTGCTATGGCTTCATTGACCATATCCATCTTAGGCGGTCGTATGACAGTTTCTCGAAAAGCAACAATTGGATCAGAAACCGAGACTTCAACCTTGGCATAACGATCTTGTAAATCTTCAATACATCGCTGTAAATGAACCTCTCCTGCTGTAATAATAACATGCTCGCCAGTTTCCTGTACACAGACCTCAACACAAGGATCAGCCTGATTTAACAATCGGAGACCCTCGGACACCGCCTGCATATTGGAGGCTTGATCTGGCTCCACGGCTACGCGAACTATCGGCTTCGATTCAAAACTCATGGTTGAGAAAGAAGGGCAATATACAGATGAGGAGACAGTTGCTGATTTTAAGATATGGTCTTCGAGTCCACCGATACCAAGGATATTTCCAGCTGGTATTTCTTCCATCAATTCCAACTCACGTCCCATAAATAAATATAAATCATTCACCACAAATGACGTGACGTGTTCATCAGATGATAAATCTTTCAAAGTTTTTTTAACGTCAACATCACCTATGTTTAGAGACGGATCATGTTTGGGACCAAGCACAAACAGTTTTTGACCACTTTTAATAGTTCCACTATAAATTCTAGCAAAAGCTATGAAAACTTGTCCAGATTTGTTACCCTTTGTGGTTTCAGAATTGGAACCCTCGCCTATGTCAGATGTGATTGGTTCACCATTCTCCTCTGCCAGTGTCAAACCAGATATACGTTCCGTGTGTCTTTGAATGGCCATGTCTCTACGTTGTTTCAGTTCTTCGTGAGTTAACGCCCTTTGTCTGTTCTGTGGTAATATTTTTCTATCAACTGGAAACATTTTGGATACAAAAACAATGACAGGAGCTTGATCAGCTGAACTACAGGATAGAAAATTTGATTTCAATGCCTGGGTTTGAGGGGGTAGAGATGAAAACCGACGCCCAAATCCGCACATCAATTTCTCAACAGTGTCTTCGGTTATTTTGAGAGGGGAGGGCAACATGCTACAGACTGAAGACAGAACAGCTTGTGATACGGGCAGCCATTGTGAAGTGTGAGCCTGTAACAAAATCCGAGCATCATTATGTCTCATATCACGGGCAGATATTTTCAACGACAATGTTTTCTGAATTTTTTCTATCATTTCTTTGTCCTTTTTGAAATAAATTGCCTCATACAAAGACCAGATATTGTCTAAGATTAACTGAACAAATAGAGGCTTCTTTCCTTTTGATTGAGCCCCTTTTGATATTGTCTTTGCCTTCATGTTCACATAAAAGTCTCCCCATAACGTTTTCTCTAGTACATTTTTGTTAAAACCTAACTTCTCACTGTAAAGTTCTGCAAAATGAGAAATTGTAAATCCCCAGCCGTCCAGGGCACTGACAAATAAAACATTTCCACGATCTGGTGAGAAAAAAATATTACGATCTTCGCCGCTTTCTTCATCTTCATGCGTTGTCCAATCATCTTTGACCTCCATGGCTTCGGACGTGTACAGTTCATTGGTCAATAAATTCACTTGCACTAAAATCTGTTGAAGAACCATGTACGCTTCCATGGGAGATAACTTGAGCTCAATGATCAGTCGGTCAATTTTGTTGAGAATCAAAATAGGTTTGACATTAGCTAAATAGGCTTGCCGCAGCACAGCATGAGTTTGTGGACACACTCCTTCAACAACGTCAACAATCAACAGGGCACCATCACACAGTCTTACTGCAGTGGAAACTTCATTAGAGAAATCAACATGGCCAGGTGAGTCTATCAAATTAACCAGATGTTGAGTGGAATTTTGTGAAAACAACAAAGATATGGCGCTAGATTTCATAGTTATACCACGGGCTTGCTCATCATCCCGGCTGTCCATATATCTCATTTTACCAGCCATTCTTTGAGAAATAATACCATTACTGGCAACCAAGGAGTCAGCTAATGTCGTTTTCCCATGGTCCACGTGTGCCAAAATACAAATATTTCGCACATTTTCAACAGTTTTTTGTAAACTTGCCACTTGTTGCGGCGAGTTCCGATTCATTTTGATGTTATTTTAGAACAAGGCACGTCCAGTTTTAACGTCCGTATAGAATTTAGACCAAAATGTGTCAAAAAGTTCCTTTTAATCGATGAATTTTAAGAATTTCACCGTACGGTGAAACACGTTGTTTACATGTAATAGCTTTTATTGGTTTTCAAAAATAGAGAGCTAAACTAAGGGAGGCAATCGCAGAATGACTGTCATATTTCAGACAACAAAGAGATCTTTCTTTCGACATAGATCCGTTTTATAATCTATGTATTGAACATTTCACGTTAAAATACAATTTACCTTAAATCATTATCCCTAAATAATCCTTAAGCGACCACATCAAATAACAGAACACAATTATATAGTATACTACTCCTGAGTTTTATTGTACACAAACATGTCAACAATTTACATGGTCATCATCAGTTTATATAGTATACTACTCCTGAGTTTAATTGTACACAAACATGTCAACAATTTACATTGTCATCATCAGTTTATATAGTATACTACTCCTGAGTTCAATTGTACACAAACATGTCAACAATTTACATGGTCATCATCAGTTTATATGGTATACTACTCCTGAGTTCAATTGTACACAAACATGTCAACAATTTACATGGTCATCATCAGTTTATATAGTATACTACTCCTGAGTTTGTACACAACGTTTCAACAATTTACATTGTCATCATCAGTTTATATAGTATACTACTCCTGAGTTCAATTGTACACAAACATGTCAACAATTTACATGGTCATCATCAGTTTATATGGTATACTACTCCTGAGTTAAATTGTACACAAACATGTCAACAATTTACATGGTCATCATCAGTTTATATGGTATACTACTCCTGAGTTTAATTGTACACAAACATGTCAACAATTTACATGGTCATCATCAGTTTATATGGTATACTACTCCTGAGTTAAATTGTACACAAACATGTCAACAATTTACATGGTCATCATCAGTTTATATGGTATACTACACCTACTGGGCTAATGAAAACGGGCAACGCTATGCAGTGTGAGATGAGGGAAATTGTGCCTTCTTAGATCGATATCCTCCCCTTTAAATCTTTAAAAGACAAGTATTATTTGTTCTTAAATGGGGTTTTATTTACCGGTATTTAAAATGTACAAAATGAGAATAACATGAACATTTTAAATACAACAACCTGAAAAAACACATTCGAGTCTACTCTCTTGAAGGTATATTACCTTAGAATGGATATATAATATAAAGTCTCAAACTTGGACAATAAAAGTATATATTATATTCATCAGTTGTACTTACCAGGTGCCATGACTGAAGAATAGAATCTCTATACAAGACTGAATAATTATTGAAAAACGCTCCTTAGTTAAAATGTATTCATTGGATTATAGAGGGATTCTGTTGTATAGTTTTGACACCAAGTAATCCCACTGATAAACAAAGACTCATTTTTGGTCAAGTTTAAAAATTTCAATTTTGTGGTCCTCCTTGGAGGTAGTATATCTTTAAAGGGACAGTTGGTTGGTTAATTTGGGTCTTGAATATATGTAAATAGTCTTCAAAAGTACTAGAAATATAGGAAAGTCGCACTATTCCTTCAAAAATATTTCAAACTCAAAATTTCTGTTCATATTTCAATAGAAGTCTTTTCTATATATGGTAGTGTCTCAAGAAAAGACGACTAGTGTTTTAAACTTTCAAGCTCGGATTCTGGATACACATGGATTACAGGGTCAAATTTCGACGGTGAGCTGTGAACACTATTACTGATTGATTTATCTAAAAAAAAAATCCGTTTCTGCGACTAAGATACGATTGGTAAAATATGGCTCACCTGTCCCTTTAAGATAATAAAGCTGTGTACCTTTATGGTAGGTGAAGATGGATCTTGGAACACTGGACTGTATATACGGAACTGTCGGTACACTCGAGAAGAATTCTACAGACTATAGGCCCACTAGTTATTCATTGAACTTGTTAAGTTATGGTAGACAAATGTATACATTGGAATAATCTCAAATTTTCTAGGTACGAGGTCAAACGGGTAGGAACAAAACAGCTAATGATTCATTGATTCATTTCTCTCTTCTGTACAGCCAATGAATCCAAAAAGTTACTATGAACTAATCTAAACAGTCGGGGCCGTGGAAATCGGTGGTAATGTAGAAAAGGACAAGCTTAAAGCAGACATATTACTGGATAATGTCAGATTCCGAAAGGCGTCTGGAAGGTTGTGGAGATCATAAAGGGGGACAACCCAGGTGTTTAGGGCTAGATTGACCACCAACAGCGAGAAGAGGTTCATGGCGATTCCCGTCTTCACCTGGAAAAAGAAAACAAGACAAGCAAAAAATAAGTTCGTGAGTACGGTGGACAGGCTTGTTGCCAAACTTAATTGATGTGGCAATGGGGTATGGTCAGTAGTTGAAGTAATAGTCGTTTAGCAGGATTTTTTTTAGCTGGGTAATCCATCCTTTGAATGGACTCTCACTCTCATCTAGTTGAGCCACTGTTTGCCAATGAAATGCTCAGTTCTCGGATATTCACTATTTGGCATTTGCATATAGGACGAATATATAGGTGTGGGCTCACTTTTTCATTTGGTAGAAAAACATTTAGACGACTGGGCTCTTGTTAAATTCCCCAAAATTGAGGATAAACCAATTAATACCGTCTTACCATGTCTTTCACTTCTAAATACCCGGATGAAAATGCTATGGCATTAGGAGGCGTTGCCACTGGTAACAAAAAAGCTAAAGATGTTGCCATGGTGCAAGGAACCATGAAATACAATGGATGAACTTCTAATTGTACAGCCTAAAACAATAATAGACAATTTTTAATCCATTTTTTCACGATAATGATATGATCATGACTTGTGTGCCTGACTAAGATTGTACATGCGGAATATATTAAATATAAAATATGTCAAAAACCGTATTTAGATCATCTTCACAATGTCAAACTATTACAAACTTCATCTTCACAATGTCAAGCTATTACAAACTTTCTCTTTCACCATAGCAACATTTCTTGTATTACGGAATGCAGCGATTTGATCCGTATGTAGGCAAATACAGCCATTCAGAGCCATTGACAGACAGACTGTGAATTCAAGGTATAAGGCAGAATGCAGTGGTTTGATTCGATTGTACGACTTCAAATACAGCCAATTAGGGCCAACGGCAGAAACACTGTAAACATTTCGCCTAATTGTTCTACGGTGCTCGTTATAACAAAAATTTCGTTCCGTTTTTTAGTATCTTTTATTTTTAATATAGCCATCTAACTGAAGTGACTGTATTAAATATAAAAGCTAATAAAAAACGGAACGAAAGTTTGGTCTAATTTTAATTAGAATGTCCTTTAATAGTAGTTTTCTGTAGTCCGAATGTCTGTACCAATATATACTCACCAGACTAATGACTATATAGAGAAACAATGTATACTCACCAGACTAATAACTATAGAGAGAAACAATGTATACTCACCAGACTAATGACTATAGAGAGAAACAATGTATACTCACCAGACTAAAGACTATATAGAGAAACAATGTATACTCACCAGACTAATAACTATAGAGAGAAACAATGTATACTCACCAGACTAAAGACTATATAGAGAAACAATGTATACTCACCAGACTAATGACTATAGAGAGAAACAATGTATACTCACCAGACTAAAGACTATATAGAGAAACAATGTATACTCACCAGACTAATGACTATAGAGAGAAACAATGTATACTCACCAGACTAAAGACTATAGACAGAAACAATGTATACTCACCAGACTAATGACTATATAGAGAAACAATGTATACTCACCAGTCTAAAGACTATATAGAGAAACAATGTATACTCACCAGACTAAAGACTATATAGAGAAACAATGTATACTCACCAGACTAATGACTATAGAGAGAAACAATGTATACTCACCAGACTAATGACTATAGAGAGAAACAATGTATACTCACCAGACTAAAGACTATATAGAGAAACAATGTATACTCACCAGTCTAAAGACTATATAGAGAAACAATGTATACTCACCAGACTAATGACTATAGAGAGAAACAATGTATACTCACCAGACTAAAGACTATAGAGAGAAACAATGTATACTCACCAGACTAATGACTATAGAGAGAAACAATGTATACTCACCAGACTAAAGACTATAGAGAGAAACAATGTATACTCACCAGACTAAAGACTATATAGAGAAACAATGTATACCCACCAGTCTAAAGACTATAGAGAGAAACAATGTATACTCACCAGACTAATTACTATAGAGAGAAACAATGTATACTCACCAGTCTAAAGACTATAGAGAGAAACAATGTATACTCACCAGACTAAAGACTATAGAGAGAAACAATGTATACTCACCAGACTAATGATTATATAGAGAAACAATGTATACTCACCAGACTAAAGACTATAGAGAGAAACAATGTATACTCACCAGACTAAAGACTATATAGAGAAACAATGTATACTCACCAGACTAAAGACTATATAGAGAAACAATGTATACTCACCAGACTAAAGACTATATAGAGAAACAATGTATACTCACCAGACTAATGATTATATAGAGAAACAATGTATACTCACCAGACTAAAGACTATAGAGAGAAACAATGTATACTCACCAGACTAAAGACTATAGGCAGAAACAAAGTGGCAGTAGCAGCATTGCTCGTCACTTCCGTTCCACAAGCAATAATCAAGGACAATAAGAAGGCTATAGTCCATTCTGGAAGAGCAGCTAGCCCAATCAGACCATCGCTGATCCACTGAGAAAAACCAGATTTCTGAAAGTAAAGGCAAGTACAGTCAAACTTGTATACTGCGACAGGGTTCAATTGAAGCGATATCGCATCACTGTTTGCGATTCAAAATGACCCATTTTGCGATCCAGTATATCCTATGACAAGCCCAAATTAAAATGTATCACGACGATCTGCGAACCAAATCAAATTTTATATTTTTCTTGAGAATTTTTTAGCCGAATCTAGAAATATATGGCAGGATCTTTTTGAATATTTTCTACGAATTTGTGAGAAATGCGATTCAAAATTTAATATAGATGGATGAAAACTGAAATTTGGTGTGATGAATTTCTGATCCAATTTTATAATCTAACTTGAATTCTGTATTGCGACCATAAGCTTATTTGTATATTTGGTATATATTTTGATTCCATTTACCTGGCAACCGTCAGCTATAGCAAATCCACCTCCCATCAGCAATAAAACACCCCAAGCTACCTTCTCATGGACTATCTTCCAGTTTAATATTGGTTCATAAACAAACTTCTTTTCATTTTCTCTTCCACGATTATTTTCTGAAAGAATTTAAAAAATTAAATCAGCTGAAATACTGGACTGACTAAGTCACTGATTTCCAGAAGAAGTTTTCTACAACACCTGAATGTATATTAGAGATGCTTAGTCAGTCATCAGACGATTTGGTATTTGTGATTTAGAGAGGGCGGAGTTTACCTACCTAATGAATAATCATCAGATGATGTGGTACATATTGGTGGTTTTGATGGTAGAATAAACATTAATACCGATATCAAAATAGCACTAGTAGAATCTTTTACAAATCTGAAATACACGTTACAGTCAGTAACACCGAATGACAGCGCATGGGAGAAATTTTATTGGTTAAAGCATACGTCATCGAGTTAGTTCAAAAGGTTAATTTGACGAATGTACAAGAGGGCTGTCGTTAGAGCCAAACTGAAGTGGTTTATTAAAAATCAAAGCATTTGAATTAGACTGGTGTAACAGTTTATTTCATTCAGATAACATCGTGTTTCTGATGGTCCTGTAATGTGCCATTTCATCTAAAGCTTCGCCAAGTAACGATTAGCGGACATAACAGTATAGGTATCAAGGTGTCAAGGTCCCTTTGAGGTTTCCCTCATTGCACAAAGCATTGCGATACAAGCCTTCAGCAGCCTATACAACATCCGTTAAAGTCCTTACCATTTTATGTTCACTGATAATACACAGTACATATACTTACTTTGGTTTGAAGCCAGCTCCCCAACCAGTTATAAATCCAGGACTTCTGGTGACCCATAATAAAACTAATATCAAAAAATTAATAGCTACTATAACTTCTGGAAACCTGAAATATTGGAAATGTCTGTGAAGAAATATCTCAGAAAAGTTTGAGTGGATTTGAAGGAACCACAGACGTCTGATATAAAATTGGAATGATAATTGATGCTATTTATGTATACATACGTAATGCTTCCCATTTCCTCATATTCCTTTTTTATTATTTCTTTAACAGGGTCAAAGGTCATGTCACTTTTATTCTTTACACACGGACAGCAACTAAAACTAGAGCCACTCGTGGCACAGAGTGGGACTTTGCAAATGTAGCAAAATGCAAAAGAACCTGAAAAAATCAACCTTCCACGATAATTAGATCAAGCGCAAGAACGGTCTAAAGTTGAGAAATTTTCATTTTTTAGAAGATTGTAATACCGGAAGTGGACGTCAGACCTCACAAATGAAAGTATCAGCAGATAGCCAAGGTCAATGACCTTTGATCTTGTAAAGGAGAAGGTCTAAAAAGGTCAAGATCAAGAGATATACGCCATCAAAATTTCAAATTGCTAACGACTATAAAACCGGAAGTTGACATAGGACGGCAAATATAAAAGTATAAATAGATAGCCAATGCCGTTTGATGTTAGAAAGG